TACACGTACAAAAGAACTCTCGGAATGTGAAAATTAGGATGGTAAAGCAACATTTTGCAGGGCGAAGTGAAATCAAAGTCGTATTCTGTTCTGAAAATAAGTCACCGACCACGCACGGCCCCAAAGAAGACAATAAATGGGAAAGATTACTGATATAAGGATTTTAAAGGGCAGATGGTAAACAAAAAAAAATGCAAACTCCATAACATAGTGACAGGCAGTGTGAAGCACGAACAGACACACCTACATGCACACACCATTTAAACCAGAAAAGAATGCATGTGAAATGATGTCCATAATGATGTCCAGAAAATAAGTAAAAAACACACACACACACACTGATAAAACATGCAGTCTACAGCTGCCTATTAATTGATTTCATAAATGACGTGGATCTGGTATTGATTTAACATTTGTACCAAACCCTGTAGTTAACATGTAATTAGCCTCATCTTCCCTCTCTTCAGGCAACTCATTCACTGTCTTAAATATCGCCTCCCACGACTCATCTTCACTCAAAGTGGTATATGTCAACTATTAAGTCGAAAACGAGACACATTATTCATCAGAATCCGAAATGAACTCACGTAGTTTTGCCAAATTTTCGTTTGTAAAATTCCCTTTCTCATGCTTATATGTGAAGATACCCTGTGTTATACAAAAAATGTATACGTGTTTGTGTGGGCGTGTGTGTCAGGCCTGTGCGAATATAAATATAAGAGGAACAGCTCACCGACATATATTTTGGCTTAAAAACCATGCTATTGGAGAGGGCATCCTTTTTTTCTACATTTATCATGCCAATAAACTCTACATCTCCGTGACAAAATTCTCACTGTTTCTGTGTTATTTCTTAAAGGAAATTAATATATTTTGAAGGTGGTATCATGTAAACAAAATGTTGACATTACTATCACTGTTTAACAGTGTTACATTTTCTTTCAAGTACCGTTACTACAACCAAAATGTCACGGTGACATATTCTTCAGACAAGCACTTGTATATGTGCGTTGGTGCTTGATACTTGGATTTACCAAATGGGAATCATTTAAGCACTTTTGGTATTTGAAAACGGGAATACATATCGTCCACATCAGCATGATTCGACTTCCGATCCCGAGCTGTTCACGTGCTCAGTACAAGCCCTCCCACCCGTATTCCCAAGTGTTTCGAAGGAGCTCTCCTTAACATGATACAGCAGCTCGGAAGTAAGTGAATTTGAACAGGGAATTGTATCGGATATAATTCCCCGATTTGAATAACCACCTAACTTGGCACAAGCGAGAAACATGTGATCAAATATGATACAATCTACAAATAAGCCTAGATGGTTTGTATCACTCACAATAGCGGGACAGCATTAATGAAACATCACTAAACAAAGACAAGACACTTTTGTTTACCTGCATCGCTCAAGTGATGCCCGTGGCGAATCCTTTGGTGCCACAAAAATAGAGACCCCGCCCCTCTCACGCCCATTTTTCCTCTCCTTGGATTTGCAGCCGAAGGTCACTCGTTGGCCGAAATTTGTTTTTTGCAACCAGTCCTCTTTTCTCCCTCCCCCCATCTCCATGAACAGGCACGGTAACCGAATTGCCTTTTCTACCTCGGTCCACGAATAGAGGCGAGACACCTGAATCTCGGGACTCGTTGAATAACAAAGTTTTACTCACGGATATCCCTCATCACACAGTTAACTGGAGACCTTACACAACGTAGTCGAGACACATGTACCTACATCTCTCCGTTGTGTCCCCTCACATCCGATATTAAATACGTTTAACATTAATATAAACAAACAAACACATAAACTCAAAAACATGATTTTTAGCCCATATTACCCCTATTCCCGCTTAAATACATGTATGCTCTAAGATCTAATGTTGGCATCGGGGAAATAACTACGTTGTTTACATGACAATAATAAATCTCAAATTGGTAAACAAGGTGTAGACTACTGTCCTAAAGAACTTCAGTGCTTCCATACATGTTTTATTTGTGGAAGAATAGCTGCATTCAAGTTGGAGGATGTGGTATCCCTTAGAATATACTCAAAAGTGGATGGGTTGGGTATTTGGTAAACTAAGAATCAAGAAAACCTCAAAACTTATACTCACCTTTAAACCAAACGGATACTCTTTCTGTTACAGTCTAAATAACCATATTACACTCTCGGTTTACAGTTTCTCCTTATGCTAGCGAACTTTCCACATCCAATAGTGACACACCTTAATAAGACATTACACATACATTGCGTCACAAGAGTCAGTTTGAAGACACATTAAATAGCTGTGTAGTGCGTGATATCATTAGTATTAATCCAATAATAATAATAATAATAATTGTTATTTTTATTATTAACCGAAACGTCCAGGAATACACAAAATTTAGTCAATAATGTTCAATCTTTAGGTCTAAACAATGCAACACAACACATCTATTAACACACTTACAAGAAATGAGAATATAACATAGAGTACATTGGATACTGGTTTAGGAGTGGCAGTTTTATTCACTGTGAAGGACAACCGGTATGATAGTAGAATGTAAACAAATATAATAGTGTAGAGCAAATCCAAATCATGACAAACGGAAATTATTAAGAAAGAAGCAAATATTTATAGGTCTTTGAACTTCACCTGACAACTATTGTATTTTTTCGTGAACCGTTCAATGTATTTGAGCATAATGCACGTCACGTAAGTTGCATAACACGACATCATGTCGACTACTGGTACATGTACCACACCCCTCCCTTTAAAAAATCTACAATTTTTTAAACTATGCTTTAGTTACGAAAAGGCTTCTAAAATATCCCAGAAAATAATGTTATGTCACGTGTCGATTTTGACTCTTCAATAATTTTTACTTTTGTCCCAAGCCTAGGAAAATTGAGTCTGTGTGATTGAAACTGAGGATTTTGTCTTTTAACGTGGATTGTACTGAGTGATCTTTTTATTAATGAGGAATAGTGTTATGCATTTATGCTGCATAATATTGATCTCAAAATTTAACTGTTTCATTTCTTAGGTTAGCTTCTAACATTGGTTGGAATAAGTAAAAAGCTATGAAATTGCAGAAAACTCGAATTGAACATTTTTTTGGAAAATCTGCCCTCAGCAATATTACCAACACCAGTTAAGGAAGCTATCAATCGCTGGTTATTCTTCCGGTATTAATTGTTGCTATGGTAACGACTTTGTCACTTGCGTTCTATTGGTCTCATCTGAGACAGTAACAGAAATCTTACATCATCGTATGGTCGTTAAATTCAGGACATTCACAAAAGAGAGGGGACGAGAGAGAGAGGGGAGGAAAGGACAAAAACAAATGCAAGAACAGAATTAGTATAAATGTTTTCGTTACTCCATTAAACATTGACATGCTGCTGATGCATGTTTTTCAGCGGAAAAACAGCAGCAAAGGCTTCCGTGTTTAAACAATTTGTTTGTATATGATGTGTGATATGGGAAGAAGAAACGTTCAAACTCTCTTTCATTACTTTCTGTTACCTGGGGCACACTATTTTATGCCTTATAAAAATCGCGGTACCAATGTTAAGGTTATCCATGGGTAGGTTTCCTTGATGTTTTCTTGGAAGATTTTTTTCAGGTAAACGAAGCAAGGGGAATTTTCAATGCCTTTCCTCTTGTCAGTCATTGTGAATGGATGCAAATCCTGGGGGAAAAGAGTGAATAAGACATTCTCTATACGCCGATACAACAAATACAACAAACTATTATTATTAGCTGAGAATCCTGGAAACTGCTAATTGACAAGTTTAAGGCTTAGAATAATCCCATGCACCCTTTTGTGTGCTGTGAGATAAGGAAATCGGAAATCAATCGCCAACCCGCCGATGGTTGGTGGATAGCAGTGCTTTGCTCAGGTTCAAATCTCAGCCGAATTATAGATTGGGGAAGAGCGAGATACGACATCAATTTCCCTAGAGACAGAGGAAGATCAATTAAGAAAGCCTTTGTGCATAAAATTTGCATTTCTACAATCCCTTGTGCAGTGGCATCTAAAATTCGAAGTGCGGGCAAACGCCTACTGCTCAGATTTTTTGAAGAAGCCGACAAGTATTTGAATAAATGTAGCAGGCCACTGCTGTGCTCAAAATACAGCGGTGTGATTATGCGTGATGTTCAGATCCCGATTTCCGGTTAGATAGATCCACTATTGACTTAATTCTAAATGAAATCTACCAATTATTGAACCAGAAACCCGAGGAATAAATACCGATCCAACTTGACCCAACAGAGTACAAAGCATAGGCTTACGCCCAGCAAAGTCTTTTATTTCTGATTAGTCATTTATACGCCTTTTTTCAGAATTTAATGTTATACCGGGCCTTGGGCCAGAAATTTCGCAGAAACTGGAATGGGGTTGGGGTGGAGGTCTTTTTCTGAATATCAAAGTCGATACATGCAGCGGTTGTCTACAAATTATTAAGGAGTAGGCCCCTTAAAATAGCATATATTTTGCCTTGGCCATTTAGATTTTATAAAGTCTGTCAATTCAATTTTAGATCGAGACAATCATGAGAAAAGTATGATCTTGAAAATTCATTAAAATTTTCATCAGTATTGTTGAGCTGCGTCTAACCCGTCTCTTTCACGGTCATGCACGGTATGATTTGTGATTTGGTCCAGATATTAACTTAGTAGAGACCAAGGAATTACGCAATCCTTTCCCTACAAGATGTATATCATTCTTTCAACATCTTTGAAAGACGGACAAATTCATTGTCGTCATCACAGTTTTCAAAAAAAAAAAAAAAAAGGAAATCCGTTGCATTACATATTTCAACATTAAATTTGACATATTACGTTAATGCCTAAACGAAAAGTATATATGTATAAGAAAATGAAAGTAGTAGAATATGCGATTATGCATAGAATTGACACCATGGGCAGTGGACTATAAAATTTTATCACTGTAATCGACCAGCGATTGTGTTAGAGGCGACCAATGAAATGCTGGCACGTTTGGAGCGAGCTGCCTGCAACATCACTTCCGCCGGTGTTCACATGTGCTGTGTGTTTTGATTCGGACCAGATCTTTAGTGCACGACAGGCAGGAAGATGCAGTTTGATATCAGAAGGTAATTTATTTTTTTTGCAAGCTACTTATTTTCATTACGTTTACAGCATAGAGAAAGATGTATATATAACTGCCATCTCTCTCGATACTAATGCACCAAACTAATACTATATTATTCAGGTATTTAAACTGAAGCCTCTCTCTGTCGATTTTAGTATGAAGTATGGATTAATTTTGATCGGCTGCATTATGATCAGCCGCATGATAGACTAGCGAGGTATCCTAAATTCGTTTTACGTCGTTTTAAGATTCAAAAACCGATCACTTAATAAAGGTGACAGCGTGACTAATCGTATGCAAAGCCTGAATGGAACTTGAATAATGAATAGTACACACCTGTCTGCACATTCTCACACGTTTTAGCGCTTTTATTTACTTTAAATATCTGATATATAAAACGTTAATAAAAATGCTTGAACACTGTGGCTGTGCAGTAAAGTATCTTTCTTTGCTAGCATGCATCCCCAGCTTCACAAACCAATATGCTTCTTGCATAGCTGCGTACATAAACATACACTGTATACCAGTAAGTGATATAATTACAAGGAAATCTTTGTATTCTTAAAATTTTAATCTGTGCGTTATACCTACGTACATCACATTTGAAAGTATATGATGAATATCTTGATTGATGAACCTCAAAACTATTAGTATTACTACTAATCCTAAAAAAAAATCCATTGTCAAGAATGTTTAACCACTGTCTTGAAAGCAAAAACCAAAGTAACCCTTAGGCTAGTGAATGATTTTATTTCAGATATCAAATTTTAGTTTCTCGATCAGCTCTATATTCAGGTGCAGACAATTTTGACAGGTTTTTTCATCATGTAATACATGTACTATATAGTACTAGGTGTAACATTTTCTTTAAAATTCAGCAGTGATTAAAATCTCCCAAATGGTCTATTAGCTTTTATTCTAAAAATACTACCAAATCATTGTGTATATGTGCCCTGGTATATGAACTAGCTATTAAGGGAGAGTTGTTATCATATTTGCAGATTTTATAGTGTGCTCACAGATTAGTGAAAAAATGATCATGTTTTGAAAATTTAAATAATCACGAATGTTGCAAAACACTACTAAATTATAATTAACAGTATTATTTCCAGGTGTATTGTGACATTTCTGCTGTGTTTTAAGTTAATTAATGCAAAGAATACTCTATTAAATCTTTGTCTTGCAACTGTACTAAAATATGTTGTCTGAGATGAAGGTAGAGATACATGTCCACTTTTAACTTGCATGATTTTTGCCTTGTTCAAGTTGAAACTAGATCATATAATGAACACAAGTCCCATGTAAATGCCTTTATTTCATCTTTATAAAGTTACCTTTTCATATAAGATTTTCACTGAATTTTTATGCAAATTATCCTAAAGTAACCACCTTTAAAACTTGCATATTGTATGTTTACCTGTGTGATAACCTACCCTCTTGATAAACTTGGGATAAACCTAATGGTATATTAAACCCATATAATACCTTTTGTCTGTTTTTTTTTTCAGATATTTGCTGAAATGAAACATGATAACAAAACCTTAAATTAGTATTTGTGAAAATGTACAGAATTTTGTCTAATGTTATATATGTCATGGATTTTGCATGGATTTGTAGTCTGTTTATGAAATATGCAGACTGCCTAATTTTATGCTGGACACCTTATCTACATTAATTATCACAAAAAGCAACCAAATGCTTTCTCACTGTTCCATCTGTGCACATGTAGGTCATCCATATGATACAGCTCCATATGCTTGCTTGAAACTCAGGGTTATTAAGATTTGTAACATATCTAATTAAAGTCATCAGATGGCCATATGATGAATAGAAATAGGGGTAAATTGCCTTCTAGATAGCATTTGGCCTTATTTATATATTCTGTCTGTATTTGAACACAACCTCCAATTAAATGATATGATCAAAGTTAAGTCGTCATTACACAGTTAGTCCTTTTCTCTTTACTAGCATATTGTTCTTTCCAAATCTTTGATAGGATGTGTGCAATTTGAGTCTGACACTGTTATCTCCCTGTGGTGTTTTGCATATGAATTTAGGAATCTTTTCTTGATATCTTTTCCTACAGTTTTTATCAGGTTCAGTGAATCTTTCATATAATGCATCTTTAATTTGTTGTTGTGTACCTGGATATTTTTTTTTCGTTGAAAATCTTATTGGTGCTTGTGAAAGTGTTGAGCTAGTAACCCTCCAGGCCTGAACACCATGAAATGTAGTAGTAGTTTTTTTATTGAAGTGTTCGACTGCAACTTATCTCTTATCCTTGTTTTCTATTTTCCCTCAAGAAGAGTAGTTTCATGGGGGTGGGAAGATAACCTTAATTACATTTCTACAAATTATATAGAAGACAAATTCTTCATATCTTTATTGTCACTGTATTGTATTTGTACCATTTAACAAATGACAGAAAGTAATATTTTTGCACATTGCAGGTTTGATATATATCGGAAGATCCCTAAGGATTTAACACAGCCAACCCAAACTGGGGCTGTCATCTCAATTCTCAGCACATTGTTTATATCATACCTTTTCCTGTCAGAGCTGCTGGACTATATATCAGTAGATATGTAAGTGCCATACAAACAGTATTCTTTTGTATATGAATCATAACTTAGATAAGAAAAGAACAGTAACAGTACTATAGGGTGCATACCATGTAGAGAATCAATTTATTGCACTATATGAATTGTTTTCCAATAACCACATTAACTAAAAATGTCAGTATTATTGTAATATTAAATCATGTTTAAATATATTTATTTATTTATTTATTTTGGCAGTATTACAAGCTTGTTGGTGTAGTGCAAAATTAAATGAATAATAAATTACTTTTAATAATTTTTTCTTTTTAGATTTTTGGTTTTCTCTTGTTTCAAATTTTACTTGAGCATGTTTCAACAGTTTGTCTGTGGATAGTTATTAATAATTGTTTTTGTTTTTTAGTGTCAGTGAAATGTTTGTAGATGATCCAACAACTGACAGAATTCCAGTGAAAATTGATCTGAGTATACCACATCTGCCGTGTCAATGTATGTATGAATACAGGAGACTCCTTACTTACAGATGGCATAGATTGCTATATGATCACAATGGATGATAACACATTTTAGCATAAAAAAATTATACTGGCAACAGGATATAATAGAATGAATTGAAAATGCAGATATACCTATATTTCCAGACACACAGAAAGCAGGAGTAAATGTCCTGTAACAGATATGAATTATTTTATAGTACCAGTTTATAACACAATACAAAATCTACATGCCAAACAATCAAAATTGATATTTGGGGCTACAGAAATCTGGCTTAAAAAACTTTAACTTCAAATATCTGGTCATAAATTTGACCTACTTTTTCCCTCCGGTTTGTAAGGCAGAGAAAGTGGGCTGAAAATATCTATAAGTTTAATTATATGTGCTGGAAATAATGTAATGAAACTCTGCTGTTATCATCTTTATATGGCACATTTGTTTTTTACCACATAAGTGTCTAAGGGTTTTTTGTTTAACTTGCACTGAACAGCTCTGTTTAGTAAAATGTCAGGTTTCTTCTGAAAATCATGATTGTAATATATTCATTGTTTACTGCAATGTTAAAATAGAGTAACCCATTGTTGAGGTCAAAATTATTGAAAATTTTGAGAATTTTAAAAACCCTCTCACCATCAAACTTATTTTGTCTCTTCGAATTACTTCATTTTTTTAACATGTGTGTATGTGCGTGTCTTATTGTCCTATTTAGCTGAAAAGAATAAAAAGACTAAAAATTTATATTGAAATATTATGTTTTCAGTCATTGGATTAGATATCCAGGATGATCTTGGTCGCCATGAGGTGGGCTTTGTAGAGGACACTGATAAAACGCCAATTAATGAAATGAGGGGCTGCAGGTTTAAGGCCAGTTTTAACATTAATAAGGTAAAAATGTTATTCCAAAATGACATGAGTACCTTATTCCAATAAAAATCTCAAATTTGTAGTTATACCTTACTCTGGTAAGTTTTCTTAGTGTATAGTCAACTTAAAGGGATAATAACTCTTTGTATGATATCTATATTTCACAATAAAAACATTGTGAACAACTCATAGAAATATAATATATTCTGTTTTACCACAAAAACAGCAGTTATAGCTATTATTGTGATATCTGAGCTTGTCTTCAGATCACGTGACCTCCATTGATGGCTATACTCAGTTATAATCTCTTAAGAGATTTTAACAAAAAACCAAACTTTTTAGAAAAAAACCAGGGACTAACTTTGAATGTAAAAATGGATTCATTAACCATTGGTAAGTACGGGAAAATTGTTGTTTGCTCCAGGAAAATTCATTTTTTGGCCAAAACGAAGAGTTATTATCCCTTTAAGCTTCGTTCACATGGAAAGTCTATTTTCTAAAAATCTATTTTCTATTCGCGGTATATCTTGTGATCACGGTCTGTGCCCTGAATATCCCGCGGCGTAATTACTGGCAGCGCGAGCCAGTTACTATAAGTTACTATAAGTAACTGGCTCGTGCTGCCAGTAATTACGCCGTGGGATATTCAGGGCACAGACTGTGATCATAAGATACCGCGAATAGAAAATAGATTTTTAGAAAATAGACTTTCCATGTGAAC